CTATTAAAAGTTACAAAATACTCACCCAACTATTCATTTTGTTCCAAAGTCATCATTTTCTATTAAAAAATTGTCAGTTGTTTAGTTGGACGTTAACATAATGACTGAGATATATGATAGTCGTTTGAGATTATGTTATTAGATTTTATCATATCACAGTGAACATGTTAACGTTCAACTCAAGTATCATCTATTTTTTAATGAAAAATGACAAGTTTGGTACATAATTAATAGTTAGGAGACCATTTTATTACTTTTAATAGTCGAAAGACTCAACAAAGCAACACTCTATAGTCGGAAGACTATTTTGCAACTTTTAATAGTCGAATGACTTAATAAAGTAGTACCCTATAGTCATGAGACCATTTATCTTCTTTACCCTAAAGGAAATACAAATAAACAAGAGTAAAGTACATAAATGGTCCCCCGACTATAAGATATTATTTTATTGAGTCCATGACTATTACAAGTTACAAAATTACTTCTTGTGGATGTCACTTTTTTTAGTCACTCGATTATTAAAAGTTACAAAATGATCACACGACTATTCATATGTTATTTTCTTTTAAAAATTTAATGCAATTTGAGTTGGACGTTAACATGTCGATTAGGATATAATAAAATATGATCCTATCCTACTGGCAATCCGAGAATTGTATGCTGGCCGGACTTCGCCGGCGATTTTTCCGTCCTGATGGTTTGCTTAATTTCCGAGGATTCTCGACCCATATGGCATTCATTTCTAAGCACTACAAATTTAACTTCAGTAGAATCTCAGTACTTTGAATATATCTTCACATTAGATTCAAGGTGTAAATCTCACTTTCCTTTGGAATTGGCTTTTATGCCTTTGTCAAAATATATTACGACGGATGAAAGATTTTAAATTAGGGGACGAATTTGAACTTATAAAATTTTAGGATGCGTTTAGGGAGATCAAAAATAGATTTTCAATTAAAAATACATAGAAAAAATCTAACATATATGAGATATGGTAATTTTAGAATTTTAAGGAGGCAGCCGCCCCCACCCGCTCCCCTAAGTCCATCCCTAAAAATATATTAATATACCCTTATATATTTATAATATAATATATATTTTTTGATAGATATGGAAATACAATAAAAAATTAGGCATATGAAAATATATTATATTTATTTGAACTAAGCTCAAACGAGAAAACAAGAGTATCAAATAATACAATTAATCATGACTACTTCTTATTAGGGGCGAATGAACTTAAGCTCGTTCCGAACAACTCAGCCATATCAAAATCTGGGGCAAACAAGCAAACACTCAGACTGTCGCTCGTAGCAAAGCAGTGGCCGTTCTGTTATGCAGCACCATCTGAGGTGGAAAGGTCCACGACTGCATGGCAATAATTTTAATTTCCTGCTTAACATCACGCTCCGGTTGAGCATGTGGCCGCTGTTGTCACTGCCGTCGCTACCTGTTCGAACGAGAAAGATAAAAAGTTCGCTGATCAAAAGGGTAAATTATTATCGATGTATATATATATATATATATACACATCATGGAAAGCCAGAAGAGAGGCAAACACCAGAACAAGAATGCTCAAACGAACGCACATTAAGTTGGTTGCTACTATTGTTAAATATGAAAACTGCGATTTGTGTTGTTTTCTTTAGGTTTTCAATATATATATATAGTCACTTTGATAAATATGGAAATACAATAAATTTATTGTATTTATGTGATACGACGAGTCTATGGAAATAAATTAACAACACAATTTCTCCTTTTATTAATGATCATTATTGGAACAAAATGACATCATTATTCATTCCGAACAGGTCAGCTTTTAGGGCATTTGGCAAGGCACGGCTTCTGTGTCCCAGCAAAGTATTGGGTGCAATGTTATGCAGCACCAACCGCTTACGAATGCGGTATGGCTGCACGGCGATATCGTTATTTTGTCGCCGGAGGTCACGCTCGGGCCGAGCTCATCGCCATTGATGCCGATGCTTCTGCTACCTGCTCGGATGAAAATGGAAAATCAACTATATGTAGATGGAAATGGTGTGATTGAATATTACAAGGAAAATACTTACATTCATGAAAGCTAGAAGAGAGGCAAACACCAGGAAAACAAACGTCAAGTGAATTGCCCTTAACTTGGTTGCTACCATTGTTGACATCAAATATGATTTACGTTATTTTCTTGAGGATTATTGACATTGATATATATATATATATATATATATACACTATAGTTGCAACTGTCGAGAGATATTATACTTGTTTGAGAGGATTTACTGCCAAATAGGAAGCGTATAAATATCGATACACAAAAGAAACTGTTACAAAAGTGATCAAGTCAAGTAAATTTTTTTTGAGTTATTTGAGTTGACAAGTCGTATTTTACAACTCGAACTTAACTTGAAATTTTTTCGAGTCAAGTCGAGTTTAAGAAATTCGAGTTGAGTTATTCGAGTTTCTATCTAATTTTGTTATAATTATTTATAGTATTGTGGTAAGGACTAGTTTTCAATTTTTTGACTTTCTCTAACCATATAAGATATATATTTCATATTCTTTTCACATTGTAATGTTATTTAATATATCAAATATAATCTAAAATTATAAAATATATTCGTAATATTATATTTTTCTTTATTTCGAGGGTAAAATATTGATGGAGTATAACATCATCAACGAATTGATGGGAAGAAAAAATTTGCAAACAATTGCAGTCAAATGATCAAATTGAGTAAAATGCAATGCTAAGGGTCTAAACAAAAGAGAGAGTACATTTTTAGTGAAAATAAGAATTGAAGTTATGTAGGTATTCTATAGTGATATATGAGCATGTCGTTCAAATTTGGTAATAACGAACTTAAAGTAATTAATAATGAATTGAAGAAATAAGAAAATTATAAAAAAATTGAGGGACTAAATTAAAATGGAAAACTTGTTAACGAAAAGAGGAATTGAAAGCACATATGTATTCTTCAATGGTTTAGGAGCATGTTGTTCAAATTTGGTTAAAATAGACTTAAAATGAAGGACGAACTAAAAGAATAGTGAAATCAAAGGATTAAATCGTAAAACTATCAAACTACTTAGTCAAATTTTTTGTTTTTTTCGAGTAACTCGAAATTTCAAAATTTGAACTCGACTCGAACTTGAAAGCCGAATTGATAATTCTAGTTGACTAAAATAAATCAAAATTTAAAAAAATCGATTTTTCGAGTCAAATCGAGTTTTGCTCACCCCTAATCAAAATAATAATGACAAGAGATCTTAAATTAAAAGGAAGGTAAAGTACACAAATGGTCTCATAATATAGGTATTGCTTTATTAAGTCCCTTTACTTTTAAAAGTTACAAAATACTCATCCAACTATTCGTTATGTTCCAAAGTCATCTTTTCTATTAAAAAATTGACAGCTGTTTAAGTTGGACGTTAACATGATGACTGAGATATGATAGTAGTTTGAGATTTTGTTATCAAATTTTATCATATCATAGTCAACAGGTTAACGTTCAACTCATAATAACGTCTATTTTTTAATGGAAAATGACAAGTTTGGTACATAATGAATTGTCAGGTGACCATTTTGGAACTTTTAATAGTCGAATGACTTAATGAATTATTACCCAATAGTCAGAGGACCATTTATCTACTTTACCCTAAAGGGAATACAAATAAACAGGGATAAAGTACATAAATGGTCCTCTGACTATAGGGTATCTTTATTGAGTCCATTGACTATTACAAGTTACAAAATGGTTCCTTGAAGACGTTACTTTGTTGAGTCTCTTGACTATTAAAAGATATAAAATGATCACTCAACTATTCATAAGTTACAAACTTATCATTTTTTGTTAAAAGTTTAATGGTAATCTGAGGTGGACGTTAACCTGTTGATTAGGATATAATAAAATCTAATCTCAAAATCTCAAATAACTATCATATCCGGTCAACATGTTAACGTTCAACTCAAACAATTATCATTTTTTAACAAGAAATATTGAATTTGGAACATATTAATAGTCGGGTGACCATTTTATAACTTTTAATAGTTGAATGTCTCAACGGAGCAGTGTCTTATAGTCGGGGATCATTTTGTATGTTTTAATAGTGAGAGACTCAACAAAGTAGACCCTATAATTGGAAGACAATTTATGTACTTCACCCAATAAACAAATACATTGAGTCTTGCATTATATTAAAACACACACCATACAAAGTACAAACAATTTAATACCCCATACACCCTGTTCCAGGAGGATCAAAGAGCGCAAGAATCTCTATTTATTCCAGCTATACATTTTCGATGTAGGTTCATCTTTAAGGATCACAATTAGCTTGACTATAAGAACTGGTCCAGTTGCAATCTTCACTCGACACTTCTTCCGATGACTGTGAGGTCGGAGGCGGAGGCGAATACTCCATGACTTCCATAAACAGGGATAAAGTACATAAATGGTCCTCTGACTATAGGGTATCTTTATTGAGTCCATTGACTATTACAAGTTACAAAATGGTTCCTTGAAGACGTTACTTTGTTGAGTCTCTTGACTATTAAAAGATATAAAATGATCACTCAACTATTCATAAGTTACAAACTTATCATTTTTTGTTAAAAGTTTAATGGTAATCTGAGGTGGACGTTAACCTGTTGATTAGGATATAATAAAATCTAATCTCAAAATCTCAAATAACTATCATATCGTCAACATGTTAACGTTCACTCAAACAATTATCATTTTTTAACAAGAAATATTGAATTTGGAACATATTAATAGTCGGGTGACCATTTTATAACTTTTAATAGTTGAATGTCTCAACGGAGCAGTGTCTTATAGTCGGGGATCATTTTGTATGTTTTAATAGTTGAGAGACTCAACAAAGTAGACCCTATAATTGGAAGACAATTTATGTACTTCACCCAATAAACAAATACATTGAGTCTTGCATTATATTAAAACACACACCATACAAAGTACCAACAATTTAATACCCCATACACCCTGTTCCAGGAGGATCAAAGAGCGCAAGAATCTCTATTTATTCCAGCTATACATTTTCGATGTAGGTTCATCTTTAAGGATCACAATTAGCTTGACTATAAGAACTGGTCCAGTTGCAATCTTCACTCGACACTTCTTCCGATGACTGTGAGGTCGGAGGCGGAGGCGAATACTCCCATGACTCTCCGGTCGGAGTCAAAGGGGAATACATTACGGGAATCGATGACTGCGCGGTCGGAGACGGTGGAGAATACTCGCCCCACGACTCTGAGGTCGGAGGCGGAGGAGAATGCACCACCACGCGAACCATTGACTGAGAGGTCGGACTCGTCGGAGTATTCTGTCTAGGTACGACTGGAAATGGATTCTGGCCAGCCTGAGACGGTGCTGTATTTGTACGGCTTGCACTTACTGACGCCTTGCTTCGTCCATTGTTACCTTCTGCAATTCCAATCATATTGGACACGCTTATGTATTAAAACTTAAAAAATTGAAAGATATTTATGATACAATATATATATAAACACATTACCTTGAAACTCCAGTAGGGTACGAGGGACAATCCCCTGTGGAAAGAAGATGAACGACGAGAAGAGGCAGCAGCAAAGGATGAGAGAAAATGAAGGTTTGATTTCCATAGCTTTTTCAGTGACTTTGTTTTCACTTGCAGACATCTGCTTATAAGCTATGGAAATCAGTGAAATAAGTGATTTATTATCTCATTTCCAAAAAAAGGTGATTGGCCTGACTTTGGGATTGGGTGCCCTCCGAATACGGCAAATTATGCAGTGCAAAATGTGTTGAATTGACTTAGGTCTATGAATAATATTAGCAATAAGTTGAATCAAACATATTTTTAAGCTTTTAATCAAATTTAATTGTTGTTAATGAGGAGTAGTAGAAGACATTGATGAAGCAATCAAACAATTTGGTTATACTTTTAAGTTTATTTAATAAATTAATCATCTAATCATAAGGTAACACGTGTAAAAGATAACTTGCATTTGTGGAGTTTGAACCTAGGTCATTTGGCTGGAAAAAAAACACCCAAGCCGCTAGGCTAAATGCTTCATTGGATTAAAATTTAAAGTTTAAAATTTAAAGATTCTTGATTTTAATATTAGTATTATGATTAGGATCATAGTTAAGATCATTTAGACCTTGTATGTTTTTTGCAGCCAAATGACCCAGGTTCAAACCCCATAAAAGCAAGTTATCTTTGACCCGTATCAACTCCTGATTAGATGGTTAATTTATTAAATAAAATTAAAATTAGGACCAAACTGATTGAATGTATAAGTATCGAGGATCAAATATATAATTTTATAATTTTTAACCGCCACGTAAGCATTTCCTTTAAATGTTAACGACATATGACTATATTAAAATCAATTAAATAGTTAAGGGATCATATTAATTCGATTTTGAAAATGATAGTCATATTAAGCACTTGTTTTTTTTAAGTTCAATTTTAACTTTTTTACTTACACTTGTATTCTCTACTTGCCGATTTAACTAATATGCGATTATAGGTGTTATAATTTTTTATTGTTCCTAATTTCATTGTTATTATAACCAATATTTAACTGTCCCTTGTAAATTAATTAATAATATTTATTTTGGATTTCACCAATGAGATGAGAAAGAAAAAATATATACGAAGCATAATTCATAATATCATAATAAATGCTGTTAACATTGATGTTGTATACCACGAATTTTATAGAAAGATTATATACATGTTTTATTTATACATATCTAATATTTAAAATATTAAATTAACATGAATCAAACTACCTCATTAGTTAATAATATGATTGTTATTTTTTAAAGATCTCGGATTTGAGCACAACGATTATAAGGATGTTTGATTGTTTATTGTCAAATGATAAAAGTCTTTTGAATATATACTACATTTATAATCATTCAACTAAACAGAAATATAAAGCAAGTTATCCATCCCTTCTCCGTTCTTGTTTCATTTGTATATCATTGATTTTGGCCTCCGTTTCACTGGAAAATGTCTCAATCTCTTCCAAATCGATGATGAACTCTTTGACTTCTTCATCCTCCGATCTTCGTAGTCAACTGTCTGATGACCCTGAAACTAGACTATGTTGGTCGACTCGTCTTTCTCTTGTGGTCCACCGTTCGGATTGGTTGTCCATCCACCTAAGCTATGCCCAATCAGTCCGTCCGTTAAGTTTTTAATGGCGGGTACTAAAATGAAACAAAAACTAAATGTTAGGTATGATTTTGAAAAAATTGAAAGATTGATACTAAAACAGACTAAAACGGATAGTTTAGGTACTAAATGCGCAGTTTACCCTAATTTTAATAGTTAATGATCAAGAGTTTGATTGAAATTTCTTAACTTTGATCCACTGCTAGAATCCAACAATAAAAATTACATATTAAATGCCTCATGATGTATTTTACCCAAAATCCAATAACACAACTATTTTCAGCTTCAGCATCGCAGTAATTTTCCAAAACCACTATTTAAAGCTTTGCTTCTCTTTCAGCATTGCCCGTCGTGTTAATTTCGCCCGTTCACACAAAGAACAAATGGCGAAACTCGGCATCTTTTTATTCACAGCCATTGCCTTTACTCTCAGCTTCTCTATTAGGGAAGCAATTGCACACACAGGAACAGCCACATTCTACACTCCTCCATATGTTCGTAAGTCCCTTTTGCCTTCATTTCATATTCTTTACAACAATTCAATGTCTACGTATCGATATTCTGGTGTCGAAAATTGCAGCTTCGGCTGGTCACGGATACGAAGACGACGGAGTGATGATCGCTGCCGCGAGCGACACGATTTGGGACGACGGGGCGGCTTGCGGGAGAAGATACAAGATTTAATGCAAAGGGGCGACCAACGAATCCCCTCATCCATGTAGGGGGAATAAATATGTGGTGGTGAAAATAGTAGACTATTGTCCATCTGGTTGTCAAGGCACCATTGATTTATCACAAGAAGCTTTCGCTTCCATTGCCGATCCGGTTGCCGGAAAAATAATGTATTTGGTGCCAATCAATTGTATAACAATTCAATAATAAATAAAGGGATGATCTTTATCGATATATTTTTATTTAAAAATTCATAATCGAATAACTTCAGTAGTAAAAAGAGAACCTTAGACAAACTTAAAATAAAATAGGTAGTCGCCACATATTGTTTTTTTCAACAAAATACGATACGAGAGGCAGTAAACAAATAAAGAAGGTGAAGAGTTAAGGATTACAGTTGGCGTTGAAGTTGCAAGCTTGACGGCGGGCTTCTTGCACTTGGCGCATCGCTTCTTGCACTTGGCGCATCGCATCCTGTACTTCGCGATTAGCTTCACGCATCGCTTCTTCAGCATTACTATTTGCAGCTGAAACTTGATGTTGCACCGGCGGAGAATTCTGGCCAACCCAAGATGGTGCTGTTCGTGCTCGACTTCTTCTTACTCCCGCTTTATTTTGTCCATTCCCATCTTCTGCAATTCCGACCATTAGATAAACAATATTTTAGGGTAAACTCTATGGATGGTCCCTCGACAGTTAACTCAAAAAAATATTAGATGGACCCGTACCCGGCTCACGTCATCGGTGGTCTCAACCAATAATATTTTTCCATATCTCATTTTTTTCTAAGGTGAATCTTCACCTCTTTCCTACGTGTAGATAAAGAGCGGAGAAATTATTTGATGGACCTGATTCACCATGTCATTCGTGATCGCAGTGAATGAGAGTCACAAATTTTAAAATAACTTCTAAATAACTACCCATTTCTTATTTACTTATAGGAAAGAGGTGAATATTCACACTGAAAAAAAATGATACAAACAAATATTATTGGTCGGGACTATGGATAATGTGGTGAGCCAGAACCATCTAATAATTTTTCGAACGAGTGGGTATTTATTTAGAAGCTATTTTAAAATTGATAGATGTGATTCACGAAAACTATTAATGACGTGATGAGTCGGAACCATGAAATAATTTCTTCCCATATGCATATGTAAAATTGATAACGTTACCTTCATAATCATAATCCTGCAGTAGCATACGAGAGCCAGTTCCATAATGAAAGAACAGAAAAAATGCCAAGAGAAAGCAGCAAAGGATTAGAGAAAATGAAACTTTGTTCTCCATAAATTGCCTCTCTGGTTATCAAAGCAGCAAACACTGTTATTTTCGCTGTTTTAGTATGTGTCTTTCCTTCTTATAAACACCATGCATAAGTCGGTGATCTCAATCAACCCCACGTCTTGGGGCTGTTTCCCTTTTTGTCAATATTCTAAATTTCTATTTAGACATTTAGATTTTTTTCTATTAAAACAATAAAGAAATCGACTATTTAGATAAATAATAAAATTATTAATTGTTTAGTGGAATGGGATATTGAATCTTTTAAATAAAAATTAGAAATTCGAATATTATACTATGAAAAAAGAATTATGGGTTAGAAAAATCGTCTATATAATAAATCTCTACAAGATCTAGTCCGACAATACATCAATAGACTAGATATCGATAGTGTTAGAAAAATATAAATTTGTAATTTAACACTTTAAAATTGAGTTTAAATTAAAATAATGTGGTAAAAATCTTTAAACACTGCATGTTCTTTACTCGATAAAAGTTCTAGAATAATTCCGCCGGATTGGCCGGGCGTTAGGAATGGGAGTCTTAAAATTCAGCAAAAATTGGAGTGCAAAATGGGTGATTTTGAGTCAATTCCACACATAAAAGACAGATGCGCGATGGTGTTGAGTTTTCAATACAATAAAAAATATGGTAAAGTACACAAATTGTCACACCCTAGTTGTTAGGGGCTAAATTGAAAGGTTTAAAAAATAATAATGCTTAAGCATTAATTTTTGGAAGTTCAGGGGCTTAGGACATAATTTGCCAATGGTTGGGTTTAAAACATAAAATCCCTCCCTTTTCCACTTTTTCCCTGTGTTCTGTGACATCACTTTCCCCAAACAAATTCTCTCTCTAGTATTATTGTGTTTTCCATCAGATTGGTATCTGTTTTGACCGTCGTGACTCTCATCACCGATGTCCTTGTGCTCATCTTGTTGCTGTCGTTCGGTCGGTACCCTTGTTTCGTCATTTTTTCGTTGTCATTAGCATCGTATGAGGGATTTTAGTTTCTAGTTTTCAAAAAAATTCAATTCCATCGATCCTCGTCACAAACCGACCTCGGTAAGTTGTTCCTCGTGCTTTAAACTAGAAATTTTGGTGCAAAAATTATCGTTGGACGGCGTCCCACGCGCCCTTACGCGTCGTCGTGCGCTTGTGGGACTATCTAGGAGGTATTAAATTCAAAACCGGCTGAATCGGATTAATTCTCCATTCTGACATCTACATAGGATTAATTCCCTATTCTGACAATCACATGGAACTAATTCCCCATTCTGACATCTGCATGGGATTAATTCTCGATTCTGACATCTGCATGGGATTATATCCCCGTTCTTAGGCTTGTAAACGAACCGAATGTTCAGCGAACCGTTCGTGAACCTTTTGGCGGGAAGTTCATTATGTTCATTCGTTTATTAAATAAATGAACATGAACAAGATTTTGTGTCCGTTTAATTAAATGAACGAACACGAACAAATGACTCATTTGTTCATTTATGTTCGTGAACATTCGGTAATATGTTCGTTCATTTATGTTCATTTATGTTCGTTTATGTTCATTCGTTTATGTGTGTTCATTTATGTTTAACACAATAAATTGTTAGGAAAGAAAAAAATCTATTTTCATTTATATTTGTGTTTACGTTCGTTTATGTTCATTTATTGTGTTCGTTTAAATCCTTTCGTTTATGTTCATTCATTTGTGTTCGTTTATCATTTAAATGAACAAACACGAACAATCTACATTCCTTAACGAACGAACACAAACAAGAAATTTTTTGTTCGTTTATGTTCGTATTCGTTCATTTGTTCGAATAAAGTTAAACGAACGAACATGAACATACCACGTTCGTGTTCGTTCAGTTCGTTTATAGGCCTACCCATTCTGTTTATCTGTGGCGAAAGGTAAAGTAGGGTGTCATTGGAGTTGCTTTTTGTTCATTAAATTCAGGTTTAATGTTACACTTTAATTGCATTGTTTTGCATATGCTTGGATATCTACTTTACTTTAGAGGGCACACTGAGCTTCATAGCTCATTTTCTAGTTTCTTTCTTTTCAGATTACTCAGACTTTTAGGATTTACAATTGGTACTTGGAGGATCATTTATTGTCATTCTCTTCCAACATCGTATGGATGTTTTCTTTTCAGACTTTTTATTAGTTGTTTTTTTGTCGATTATATATTTATATTTTGTGTATTTTTTATGGAACTTGGATAAGGATTTTCTTATTGGTTTCGAATTTAGAACTCGAGGTATGTTTTTTTAAGTACTAAGAATCCTTGAATTCTTTTGATGATTTAATGACGATGCATGACAAGACATGAGTTCTTCTTTATTTATGTTCAATCTAATGATGTCGTGGTCTCCGAGATTCAACTGTGATGTCCAGGCCGGGTCTAGGGGGTTACACAAATGGTTTGGGTATTGTTTTATTAAGTCCCTCACTATTAAAAGTTACAAAATGATCCTCCAACTATAGAGTATTACTTTTTTGAGTCCCTCAACTATCAAAAGTTAAAAAATGATCATCTGATTATTCATTATATTCCAAACTCGTCATTTTCCGTTAAAAAGTTATCGGTGTTCTAAACTGAACGCTAACTTGCTGACTATGATATGACAAAAGATGATCTCAGAATCTCAAACGACTATCACATCACAATCATCATGTTAACATCTACCTTAGACAACCATCAAATTTTTAATGGAAAAGGATGAGTTTGAAACATAATGAATAGTCGGGTGATCATTTTTTAACTTTTGATAGTCGAGGGACTTAATAAACCAATATTCTATAATTAGAGGATCGTTTTGTAACTTTTAATAGTCAAATGACTTAATAAAGCAATACTCTATAGTAAGGGGACCATTTTTGTACTTTTCCTAAAATATAATTTTAATGATATTTATATTAAATATATATATATATATATATAATATTTTAAGAATTCAAATTGTATTTATAATAATTTATGTTACTTTGAAAACACCCATTAGACCACTTTATATATTTTTATAAACTTATTAATTAACACCACCATTCTATAATATTATATCAATTCTCCTTAAACAATATTTTTATAATTATTTTTATTTAATTAAATAACATTAACCGATACTACTGATAAAACAAAATTTTATAATTTAATTATGATTAAAATTTAGAGTTTAAAATTTAAAGATTCTTGGTTTTAATATTAGGATTAAGATTAGGAGCACAGTTAAAATTATTTGGAGCTTTTCTCATAACTCTGATTATTAAACTCTTTTATTGTAGTTATTTATTTGGGTAAACTACATGAATGATCACTAAAGTTTGACTAAGTTTTTGTTTTCCCCACTAAACTTTTAAAAGTTACAAATTGGTCACTAACGTTATCGATTTGTAACAACATGGTCACTTCACCGTTCTCTCCGTTAAATTGATGATGTGACAATGTTAAAAAAAGGTAAATGTTTAATTTTACCCCTAAACTACTACTAAAACATTAAATAGGTCCTTAAACGATGATTTTATATCTAATTTACATTTTTTTAAATACCCGTCTACACCGCCACCGTTTTCCTTCCCTCCCACCTCTCCTGCCTCATCAGTTTCGAAACCCAACCATCTCTGCATAAAAATCCGGTGGCCTAAGGAATGGCAGCACCATTGACTGAAAATTGACTTGCTCATGCAAATGCAAAGAGAATTCAAGGATGAAGTCAAAGGTGATATTTACCTGCTCTTGCTTGAACCAAGAAGCTTTATCAATGATTCAGTACCAGCTACATGGATAAAATCATAAGTACGGAGGTATGTAGAGAAACGGTCACACCTGCAAACATCAATGGAAATCATTAGGTAATCGCAATGTTTACCGTATAAGAAAGTATACATAATGCACAAATAAAGAGAAAACCAGAAGACAAGCAACCATAACAAACAATAAAAGAAGGATGAGAATTAATCAAGTATCTAGTTTGAAAATTAAACACTACAGTACAAAATTATGGCTCCAATTGAATAATTACTTGTCCAAATTAATTACCTAAATTCAAGCTAGTACAATTTTCATGGAAGGTTCAATCAAACAATGGAATAAGCAGCAGAAGGTTTTCTTAGGGCAGAAAGGAGCAAACATGGTATTTCTATGGAAAAAATTGTCACAGATAGCAGTTGACAAGGCACTGACCATAGACTCTTTGGACGGGTAACAAACTCTTAGCCTTTTCAGAAAATTAGGATAAAAACCTACAGTAACACATCAGTCTTGATATAATCCAATAAAGCCTCTTTTATATATAACACCAAGAGTTAGTGGCTTTCTAGCAGGCGCAACATTCATCGCCCATACTGGATACGAAGTAAGTGCTGCTGCAAAACCTTCAAAAAAAAATGCATTCATGTCCATGAAATTGCTCACTGTTGGTGGTGGTTGCTGTGGGTATCTAAAAAAATTTGAAAATTGGAAAACATTTGGGATAAATTAGATATAAAATCATTGTTTAAGGACCTATTTGATATTTTAGCATTAGTTTAGGGGTAAAACAAAATATTTACCCTTTTTATTAATGTTTTCACATAATCAATTTAATAGAAAGAACGATGGAGTGACTATTTTGTTAGAAATTGATAACATTAGACTAATTTGTAACTTTTGAAAGTTTAGTGGGGAAAATGAAAACTTACTCTAAAATTTAATGAACATTCGTGTATTTTCCCTGTTTATTTTTAGTTTTATTTCTTCTAATTTATGAGATCTGATTGATTTTTCATTTTTATCTAATTTTATATGTACATATATTTCATTTTTGTTTCAAATATTTGTGTTTGTTAATAAAGAGCCCATATTTGATAGTTTATAATATTTGTTTGGAAAATTATTTCATGCATTGATATAAGTAATTTTTTCTCATAATTAGAATTTTAATGTTTTTTTAGCTCAGCAAGATATTTGAGGCTCTTTAATTCCGAATTACGAGCCTTTTTAAAAACCTTCCTATCCCTAAATGGAGTAACATAATACTACACAATTGAGAAACCAAAACAACCAACTAAGAAATACAACCCGAAGATGCAAAACCTGGCCACAAAAACTAACCCCTTCATTAAAATCATTACAAGTCTTCCAAGGTAAAAGCTTATGAAATTAGATAGCATTTCATGTTATCTTTATGGATCGATCTTTGAGGCTATGGTTTTATGCCGAAGGCAAACTTAGAAAATTTTAAGAGGGACTTAAAACAGGTTATCGATAGAAAATATAAAAAGAATGTCTAAATTATATGAAAAATATAAAATTCTTAAGAAGACGACCGTGTTATCATGAAAATACTTGTGTGGACAAATAATTTCTTACAATTCAAGTAAACATCGCTTAGAAACACACAATACACAGTCGCAAACAAAACAGGTAGCACAGACAGATACTCTGGTCCAGGAGAATGGAAAGCACAAGACAGACTTTTTATTCTAGCCATTTCGTTGGTCGCGTCGGACTTGAACATCAAGGATCACAATAAGTATTGGTAACGCCACGGGTCCATTGGCAAGCTTCACTTCGCGCTTCGCTTTCCGCTTGTTGCCGCACTTGAGCTTCGTACGACCTCTTCCATGATTGTAAATCCGTCGGCGTCGGCGGAGTATTCCCCCAAGATGGTGCCGTTTTCGAAGGAATTCTTCTCACGCCAGCTTTGGTTTGTCCATTGTCACCTTCTGCAATTCCAATATTTTTATATTTTAAGCAACGTTTCGAGTTCAAGTGTTATGATTATTGAACATTGAAAGTCTCGGATCGAAAGAAAGTTATTTCACATATGTAAAATGGATTGCGTTACCTTCATAATCATAATCCTGCTGGAGTATACGAGAGCCAGTTGCAGGAGGGAAGAGAAGGAGCGACGCCAAGAGAAAGCAGCAAAGGATGAGAGAAAATGAATGTTTGTTTTCCATTACATAATATGTAGTAATTACCAAAGCTGCAAACGCTATTGTTTTAGCTATTTTAGTACGTGTTCTTTCACTTGGCAGCCATCCTTCTTATTAATGCTATGCCTAAGTTGATATCTCAATCAACCCCATGTCTGGGTTGTTTCCCTTTTTGTCAATATTCTAAATTTATGTGATTAAAATCTTGGTAAAGTACACAAACAATCCCTGACTATAGGATACGTTGTTTTGTTGAGTCACCGACTATTAAAAGTTACAAATGATCCCTCAATCATAGGATGTTGCTTTGTCGAGTCTCTCGACTAATAAAAGTTACAAAATGGTCACCTGAGTATTCATTATGTTTCGAATTCGTCCTTTTCCGTTAAAATATTGATGATCGTCAGAGTTGAACATTAACATGCTGACTAAGATATGATAGTTGTTTGAGATTCTGAGATCAAATTTTATCATATTTCAATCAGTAAGTTAACAAAGCAACATATTATAGACGTGAGATCATTTTGTAACTTTTAATAGTTGACGACTCAACAAAACAATATCATATATTCAGGAGGACTATTTGCATACTTTACCCTAGCTTTAAACATTGCATTTCTTTACTTAATGGAAGGCCTAAAATGATTTCCCCGGATTGGAAAGACTTTAGGATTTGGAGTCTTAAATACGGCCATATTTGTAGTGCAAAACGGGCGATTTTGACTCAACTCCAGACATAAAACACGGATACTTCGTTATCAGACTGCCCTTGACTCCACGCTTGCCATGCACGTGGTGTGGAATTTTGAATATAATAAAACAAAAATATAATATTTATATAAATTTATTATATTTTAAGAGATATTCTTTAAAAATTAACTATTTTCATGGAATAATTGAATTTTTTGTTCTTAAAAATTTTAAATTATTTACAAGTTGACCTTGAAAGTCGACTATAAATAAGTAAAAATTTCCATTTAAAATAATCTTTAGCCGTCTCTACTATTTGATTCTCTCTTCTCCCATGTGTAATATATGAGAATTTTTTGTATAACTACCTATATCTTATCTATTAATCAATTAATCCGGATCAGTTATTGCAAAGACCGAGATTTATACTCCTAACCCACAAAGGCCAATAGATTTAGAAAAACCAGCTCTTTAATTACCTGACTGATTGCGTATCACTCCTCCACACGATGCTCGACCATCCATATCACTCCGGACACCATCGGTATTCAATTTAACCCATCACAATGGTGGATGCTACCAGAGATTAGGACTGACTCACATCACAGCTCCCATGCTTCGAGGAGTACCTCTATCAGCGATAGCACGCTTCATGGTCCTCAATAGTTCTCTGCTTCCATCCAAAGTGGAACGACCAAAACCCTCTATATTACCAAAAGTTGTAGCATTCCTTAAAAGCCAAAGGTTCCTTAAAACCGTATGTTGATAATGTTGAAGCTAATCCAACAACGGAGGTCCATGCCAAGAACTCTTCCAATTTGTCCCTTTTAATCAGCATCGACCAAATCGAACATGTATTAAACAAGCTCTTGTAGCTCAGTTGGTTAGAACACCCGTTTAGTAAGCGGGAGGTCTTGATTTCGGTTCTCAACCAGGGCAAAAATTCATTGAGTGAATTATGTGTGCACATAGGGATGAACAAAATATAAAATGGCTGTCCCTTGTTCCCATATGTAATGGGGTAAGGGGGAGGTAAGATAGTAGGCTGTCCCAACACTAGATTGAGAAGCTTCCGTAGGAGACCTCCAAATTATGAAATGCCCTCCATGAACAAAATATGATAGAGGATAAGGTTATATTTCTTGAAAATTTTAATTTCTTATATGACTTAAGTAATTTTTTGTATTTTCTATTGAATATTTAATTTCACATCTTCTAAAATTTTAATTTCTTATATGACTTAAGCATTTTTTTTGTATTTTCTATTGTAGTTTAATTTTACATCTTCTAAAATTTTAATATGAATTTTTAAATTTGCACCCCTAATATAAAATTTGTGTCTGCCCCTATTTCTTTTCTTTTGATTAATCTAAGAGTGATTATAAGGTACTATCTATTCGAAAGACTCTCAACTCAGTCAATGTTCAAATATCTTTAACATATGATGTACTCAATGGTTGTTTGGTTCGCGCATCTTTTGGTATTTTTCAACTACCTATAAAAGAACGGTGGTACGTTTAATCAATTAAAACGAGATATAAATATTAGATCGTCAATGATATAGATAAATAAACGTCATATGATGTGTAACGATACGTCGGGTGTACTAGTTTTTCTAAACGACAGATTAAATAAAACGGTTAGGGGGCTAAATCACGAATTAATCGTTTGTTCATGTAAATATATATAGAATTGGAAATTCCTATGAAAGAAACTCTGCTTTTATTTCTCGAGTATGAAAACTTGTACAATTGGTGTATACATATCAGAAGTGTCACATGCTTTGGGCTCAGTAGCTGCTGTAAATAGAGAAGGAACTCAGATTTCCAATAAACGCTCGTGAATTAAATCTGCGGCTGCAGCTACGACTCTAATGTCCTCTGTTGTAAAACTCACTTCTTTCTGGATACTTGGCCCTAGGAAAACATGAACCATAAGGGCGACCCCTCCCGCAATTTGCCACCGGCTTGCCCCGATTTAAGGCTCTCTGGGTTACCGTTCCGGTATTCGAAGCCTGAGGTGGATTGTGGCCTGCCTGAGATGGTGCTGTATTTGAATGATGTCCCCATAATCCCGCTTTACTCTGTCCGTTGTTCGAAGCCTGAGGTGGATTGTGGCCTGCCTGAGATGGTGCTGTATTTGAATGACTTCCCCATACTCTCGCTTTACTCTGTCCGTTGTTATCTTCTGCGACTCCAAATAGGGGTGTAAATGAGACATCGATACTCGAAAGTTATTTGGGTTCAAATCGAAAAAGACATCGGTGAATGTACGTAATTGGTTTCATTACCTTGAATCGCCAGTAGTTTACGAGAGATTGTTCCGTATGAGAAGAAGAGGACCGATGCCAAGAGGGAGCAGCAAAGGACGAGAGAAAACGAACGTTTGATCTCCATAATTTGTTTCACAATTCCAAAAGCAAATGATTTTAGCATGATTTTTCAAGGGAGAATCCTGATGCTTATAAAGACAGGTATTCCAATTATTCGTTTTCATCGTCAACCCAGACTTCTAGTATGATTTGGGCAAATATTTATGAGCTTTGAGTGCAAAATGGGTCAAGCGACTTTATTAATGCCACGCTGCTCACATACAATAATCTGATTTACTCTCTACCTCTGTTTTCAACCTTTTATAATATATCTCTAAAATATTCGATTCAGATTAATTGATAAAATCGATAATTATACAAAAAGAATAAAACATTGAGATTTAAAATGATCATTTTTCTCTTGTCAAAGTGAATGTAAGCTTTTGAAGAAATTTTGTCTTGTTTTTGGTGAACAGAGGTGCTAGCATCATCATCATCATCATTATTCCAACACGTTGACTGGGCAAATCTTTTTGGACAGACTGCCAAGTTCTCGACGTAAGGTCGACGTCCCAATTGAAATTTCGGCGAAAACTAATATCAGTCTTTTCTTGGGCCGAGGGTCCCCCACTTTACAAAGCCACTTGATGATTTTTTTTAATATAAATGATAATTGCTTTGGATAAACTACACCTAAATGTCATTGGACTTTATGTTATCATTTTTACCAGTGAACTTTAAATTATTTTAGTTTTACTATTGAACTTCAGTTTCGAGTTCAATTAAGGCACTGAGATGTTAAATGATTAACGACGTGATGACATAGTCATGTCTTCCCTGTGAACTTTAGTTTTTGTATCAATTTTGTCAATAAACTTTACAATACTTTAAGTTTAGAGTAAAATACACAAATAGTCCCCCAACTATAGTGTAACATCCCGAATATCGGGTTAATAGTTCGGGTCAACCCGAAACCTAAAATTGAGCCCAATTGGATCTTATAAGATAGTTGGACACAATTTAGTGTTATTGGGCTTGAGTATGGGCCTAAGAGTTAAAACTAAATCCACTAAATAAGATAGAAAATATTATTAGTTTGGACCATAAATGACGTGGTGAACCGGATCCATCTAATAATTTTTCTCAATCATGTGCAGGAAGCACCAGTTACAACTAAATCCATTAAAGACCCATAACTATAGTAGCAATTGAAACAAATAACTACTAATACATTCAAGATCACCCAATACCAGATTTTGCAAGAGAGCCAGCAAGCACATTACAACTTCTTAGTATCTACCAAAAAATAGAATTCTTGATTGTGATCTTCTAAGAAAGAAAATCGAGATTATCTATTTCTTGGGGGACCATAACCCTTTATAGTTGATTTAATAAATCTTATTGTTTGTACTTATAACTCTACCCTTCATCAAATTATAAATACAACTTTAATAGTATCTACACTTTTATTTCCATGATACTTCTAATACCTTAAGATTTTATAACATAATAGGTCACTTAATTTATTCATATTTTATGATAACAATATATATTAAAAACTATTTGCCCATAATTATGAATTTTAATCCAACTTGTTTTGCTTGATATGAAAGTTATATTTGCAGGCATGATGTTTTGTAGCTTTTCAAGCTTAGTTGTGGTGTACTCTTTTTCCGACTTAAGATTAGAAAGGTTTTTAATAAATTCCAACGTAAAAATCTTATTATTAATAAAATTCATTGTTTTGCAAGCTGATATGTTGTCTTTTTAAGTGAACAGTTTAGGCTAATAATATAAGCAATCATATCCATAAACTTACAGGCCTATAGCATACAAGTTGGTGGACAATTATGTCTCTCTAAAACACTCCCTTCATAGTGAATACATAGAAAACACAATATAACCTCTTGTGCATCCAATTTTATTCAAATCGGTGAATCCAGCAGTTTTTCTCATACTGTTTTAATGTTAAGGAGAACAATAATCATTTCTAAGTTTTGGCAAGTTGTTGCATGCTTCACTTCTCTTTCAGAGGGCTCAAGTTTCAATTTGCAGAAGATCGCAACGAGATAAATGAAAATCGCAACGAGAGAATGACTGTCGCAACGAGAGAAATGAAAATCGCAACGATTCATTTCGCGTGCGATTGTCATTTCGCGTTGCGATTCTCTCGTTGCGATTTTCATTTCAACCAAAAGACAAAACAGTGTTGCAAATTTAGTTTCAAGAATAAACTACTACTTTTTATGTTTATTGTTTTTGGTATATCTTCACAGTGTAGTTTTGGTATATCTAACTTGGTATGGTTTATTGTTTTTGTAGAAATTTTTTTCGGCTCAATTGACCTTGAGAAATAAAGTCAGCCTGGCCACTACAATTGCTTCGAGCTTTCACCTGCTCAAAGACAATTGTTTGAGGAAACCTGCTTCGGGCCATGGCTGAGAGTACAGCATCCGGGTGGAGATGCTATTTGACCAATTTATGGCTTCAGACCATGACATCAAATCTACCCGACAGTATACAACGTGGTGAGGAAGAGATATGGTTTCATTTTCCACCAGCGTATACTTGTTTTGGGCGGAAGGAGTTCTGCTTAATCATGGTCTACGATTCGGACACGATGATGTAGGCCGGTACACTCGTCATATCGCCCGCCCATCATGGTTATCCCGGGTTTTTCCGGATGAGTCAATGGAGAAGCCGAACCTACATGTCGACGACCTGAAGAAATTGTTTAATAAGAAAGCTGGTTTCACTCGGATGGATGACGTCGATGTTGTCCGAGTATGCCTTCTACTTTTGTATGCGGCTTTTTAGGCAGAGAGGCCAGACAACCTATTCATCGGGAGCTAATATATTGGTAGAGGACCTGATGCATGGAATCTGTTTCCGTGGGGTATATAGGGAAAGCTACCTGGACTAAGTTGTCGTCTGCCTTTGATGACCGCAAAAGTTTGCGGGGCGATGGGTCCAAATACACTTTGTCAGGCTTTGTTTGGGCCTTTAAGGTAAGAATTTCTATATAATGTTTCTAAAATTATAATTAATTATTTAACAATTACTAATTTTGTTATTATATTGTTTGTAGATTTGGATATTCGAGGCTTTCCCCAGCATGCGTACATATGCAATAAAAACGTCAAATGATATTCCCAGGGCTATTTCCTGGAAGAGGAAAACTCTGTTGGATTGGGAAGACTTAATACCATATGCGACAATAAATAATGTAAGTTAACACAAATACTTTCATATAATATATAAACAAGTTATTAATAGTAGACGTTTAACTTTGTTTGAGTTTTTATATTTTAGGAGGCCAACATTCCATTACAAAGACTGACACCCACGGAGGAAGAGCTTGCCACTGATTGGTGGCAAGCTAGTCAGAGTTTTTTGATGGCACGGATGATGAGCAGCATCCACTTCCTCCAATTCGAGAGCCATCACCTCACCTAGAGCCATCACCCGATCGACCGACTATACACCTCTAGAACGAGAGCCATACCTATCCCGTCACATCATCGAGCCTCTTCTCCACCATCCCTCATGATAGGCGACCGGCAAAGATGCCACGACTCCTATCTCCATGTTCTCCACCTCCACCTCCACGGGATGAGTCAAGGGAGTTACGTGATGAGGTCAATGCCTTGCGTGAGGAGATCGGTACTCTACGCGATAACGATGGTGCATGGCGTGTGGAGGTGTCAACTTTACGTGGTGAGGTTGCCGCTCTACGTGAGATGATAGTATCGTTGCAGAATGAGGTTCATACTCTACGCAACGAGGTAAGTTTAAGATTTTCCATATTTAACTTAATGATAAATTTACTCGTAATTTCACTTAGATTAGCCATTTCACTTAGATTGCTTAGTAAATTTATTCGGTTGCTGCCAATTCTGCTAAACTGTGTATTCTTTAACACTGTGAAATAGTATTTGTCTTTGTTTGTCTTTTGGTTGAAAGTAAATTTGTTCGGTTGCTGCCAATTCTGCTAAACTGTGTATTCTTTAACACTGTGAAATAGTATTTGTCTTTGTTTTGTCTTTTGGTTGAAAGTAAATTTGTTCGGTTGCTGCAATTCTGCTAAACTGTGTATTCTTAACACTGTGAAATAGTATTTGTCTTTGTTTTGTCTTTTGGTTGAAAGTAAATTTGTTCGGTTGCTGCCAATTCTGCTAAACTGTGTATTCTTTAACACTGTGAAATAGTATTTGTCTTTGTTTTGTCTTTTGGTTGAAAGTAAATTTGTTCGGTTGCTGCCAATTCTGCTAAACTGTGTATTCTTTAACACTGTGAAATAGTATTGTCTTTGTTTTGTCTTTGGTTGAAGTAATGCAATCCATTCAAGTTTCAATTTGCAGAAGAAGAAATAGTTTACTTTCGCAACACGAAACTTAAAATCGCAACGCGAAACCAAAATCGCAACGCGAAATGAAAATCGCAACGACAGAATCGCAACGCGAAACCAAAATCGCAACGACAAGATCGCAACGCGAAACCAAAATCGCATTGCGATTTTCATTTCGCGTTGCGATTCTTTCGTTGCGATTTTCATTTCGCATTGCGATTCTGTCGTTGCGATTTTCATTTCGCGTTGCGATTTTGGTTTCGTGTTGCGAAAGTAAACTATTTCTTCTTCTGCAAATTGAAACTTGAATGGATTGCATTACTTCAACCAATAGACAAAACAAAGACAAATACTAACTTCAGGGTATTAGTTTGAAACATATTTTCTTTGTTATCTGATGCATTTTGTGAACTATGATAGAATAATGACTTGGGTGAATACAATGCAAGTTTGAAACATATTTGTCTTTGTTTTCACTGTTTAAATATCATGTCTGTTTATTTACTGATTTTTGTATTTAATTATTTAGCGGCCCGATAGAGTGGATGCTTTACGTCGGGTTATGCTTGCACGACGGAGTTCACGCATCAGACAGCGTGCACGTGCTATTAAGTCTCCGTACACCCCAATAGTGCGAAGACACCGAAAGAAGAAGCCTGACTCGCCTGTCATCCCTCAAGAGTCCACTCCTATCGTTGAAGAGGCCCCCCTATCATTCCTCGAGAGTCCCCTCCCACCGATCAAGAGG